AGTCGTTGACGCAAAACTCATGTGATCGACGCTCTCCTGTGTGCTCCTGAAGTCTTTTGCCCAACTCCTTCACAATGGCGATAGCCGACGGGCCCCAAGGACCCATCGTCTCGAAGGCGATCGGAGAAAAAATGTAGCGCCCTTGCAGATAGGCATACAACCGGGACTTCTTTTCTTCTGCTCGTACAGCAGCAGCACCTGCCGTAATCGACGTAAACGGAAGATGGGAAAGGGCCTTTGTGTCGACGCACGTCACATCCCAGGCCAGACACATTCCTCTTTTCCAGGCGAAAGTTGTACAGCCGTCAGGGCGTTGATCTGTTGTGGAGGACGTGCCGCGTGGTTCGAGCTTAGCAGGGACACCAGCTGAAACACAAGCGCGGCACACAATACTGTTAAGCCCTCCATGGCGCGCATGCCTACCGGCCGAGTAGGTGCATGTTAAACCGTGGTGGCCCAACTTGTCAACATGTTTGTGACATTTGGTGCAGTTATGTGGCTCGCAGATATCCGCTCCGAGACGCAGGCCAATCGAAATTCTACATTTAATTAAACTTCTGTTGATCTGTTTTGTTGATTTGATAGTATTTTTATAGAATGGATCTCTTTACTCACATCGTGTCCATGAAATTGTACTTAACGGATTTGATGTGATAAAATGGAATAAGAGATTCGATGTTTTTATTAGCATTCGAGCACACACAGACAGCGGCGACTCGTCTTCTTGGTGGATTCCGGAGGATGTTGAGCCTCAACGGAGCTCGGCATCCCCCCAGAGGCATGTGAGCGGGGGTTCACTAGCGTTCACACTCGTGGCGCTACTCTCCACTGGATTACGTGTCTGTGTTGTGTTTCGCTCTGATTGGCTGACGGCTACAGCCGTCCATTGTGTTGTGCCTTGTGGGCAGGACTTAGCCCACGTGCGGAGCAGCATGGATTTGGCTCTCCGATCGATGTTCGCGCTGTGTGGCGCAGTGTTGATTTTCGCTTGTCGAAACTTTCAATATTCATTAAAAGTTAGCAATTAGCTGTGCGGCTTCGCGTGTTATTCGCTGCTCGCAATACTTTACAGCATTGCTCACTACGCGGAATCAGTTCAGTTCTGGTTGCCGTATATAGATCTTTCTGATCTATCATAATACAACGGATAAAGCCTACGGTAAAGGTTATTCTAAACGGCTTTTGGGGAAGGTCAATTAGGACGGTGAAGTTTTCGCGGCGGCAAAGGCAAAGGTAAAGGCAATGTTGAAAAAGGCAAAGTGAAAAGGCAAAGGCAAAGGAAAGGCAAAGGTAAACGTGGCCGACCCCACAATTCCCGCTAGCGGTCTAACATGTCGGACAGAGACCGCGTCGCGCTTTAGTTTTCTCGGTTTCTTGCCTACATAAAGAGTGCACTTATTGGCCGAGCGAAGCGAGGCCTTCTATACTCAGCTGGCCAAAAAGTCGAGTGTTTGTGTGTGTGTGTGTGTACACGATAACTTTCGAAGGATTTCCGCTATCCTTCTCAAATTTTGCACGATGATAGAATGATCCAAAACTGAGGTCGAGTTCGTTAATGAGCCTGATCTGACCGGAAATAGGGAAGATCTGGGACTCTGATTAACATAGCGGTCTACGGAGAATGCACTGTCACATTTGGCTTACCACAAGCTTATGGTTACCTGACTGGGCCAACTTATAAAGTCATACATTTACAGTCGCCAGGCAGCGCCCTTCTTTTAGCGCTTGAGTGTAGAATTCCGAAAGGCAACTTAGAACTGATTTAGACAATTGCCCCTTCAGCAGCTCGCGCGAACTGGGACAAATGTTCCTATGATTTGTTTTATTGACGCTGTCATTTGGACCGTGGTGAATAAACGCGAAACAGGCTATTAAGTTTCTTATAATTATTAAAACACCACCGTCCACCGAAGGCGGAGCCGCAGGCGACGCCGAAGCTGCGGCGCGGGCGGAGCCCATAGACAACAAGTGAAACTTTCTGCATAAAAGTTATTAATTTTCAAACAGAAAAAACAAAATTCGTAAAACTAAATGCAACGAAAACCATTATGCGGAATGCAAAAAAAGAGCCTTAATTTGTGCCGTGATATTTAGAATTCTACCAGGCTTTACTTGATATGTAAATATAATGTAATGCATGCGGTAAAGAGAGAAAGAAGCACAACTAGCGGACTGTGCACAAGGACCGGGAAAGATACCGATACATGTTTTATCGGCTACCAACTGAGTAAAGCGTTGCGAGACTATGTTTTTCAAAGTACTGTACAAAGTACTGTACAGTACTTTGAATTCAGTAGATTAGGTGTATAGTTATCTCGTACGAGATATAATTTTCGGTTACTCTATGTATGCGTTCATGAAATTGGTTTAATTGGATACTTTCGCACCTTACTGCTTAAATTTAGCATTAATACAACAAACTTTTTACTTTTCGTAATCTTCCAAAATTAAAGTTTGTTTGAAGTGTTACTTACACTTATATGCTGGGTAACTGCGGGAAGTTTTCAATTGATCGTATTTCGCTTTTGCAGGCTTTTAAACGCGGCCACAAATGCCATAAAAATAAAATGCCATAAAAAAACTCTAAAATTTAGACACTGGACAACTGCAATCGGTACATTAAACACCGAATGCGCTAAAAACTACTGGGTAGCCGCTATGCTTCTGTAGAATACATAGGCGGTTCTGTAACTTAGTTAGTCCTTAGTTTTAAGTTTAAGACAGTTCGTAGTTACAGTTAAACGATAAACTTTCTACAGTGCGAACCCATGCGAGGCCTGCTTTGCGCGACAGAGAGAGCGTACACCTAGTATATTGTTAAACAGAGCGTTGCGGACTGATTTTGTCTTAATTAAGTGGACTGAATAGCATTTTAGTTGCTTCTTGATAGCAAAGAACGGACTCTGCAGGCTCATCGGTTGAAGGTTAAAAATTCGAAAGCTTCAGTTGATTGTGACTATAAATGTGCGGATTGCAAGCGAGCGTGCGTGCGGCACAGTTTAACGTGGATTAATGCAGAACCGACTGGCGATGTCGCTATTGCTTCTTGTGAATTATGTAGTAATAAAATTCATTACTACCGAATTCCCAATGGACTAATAGCGATTCATAAATTAGATTCATTAGGCGGATCTTACGATCCAGCTGCTGCATAATCCTGAATTTCTGTACGAAGGCACACCGTCTAAATGCTGGGATTCCACTCGCCAGCTGGAAATTTAGACTTTGCGGCGCGCTACATACGTGTACCTGCAAATCCAGTTTCGTTTGTTGAATGACCAAAGAGCAGAACTGTAAAGGCAATGGTAAACTGCAACACTAACTGCAACCCGTAAATGCATCGTTCCGGATTAAGGTAGAACAGAAAACAGCAAAGACAAGAACAATAATACACCGCACAAAACTGTAACACAAGCAAACGAACTACCGAGTAGGAAATTTGTTCTATAACCGCTGTAGGCAGTTGTGATTCATGCAAGCGATACGCACGAAGGCAGTTTTTAAAGCTTATGTGCCACGATGGCAAATACCATCAGAGCGATCCTAATACTGTAGTTACGGAAGCGCATTAATTTCTTGGTTTAGAGAGGCTCTGAGAAGTTCGAAGGCCTGTCTGCTGCAATTCTTTTGGCGATCATCAGGAACACGGCATTCTCTAGGCCATATTGACAATTCAAGTTTCTTAACCAATTGCCGTTAGTATTGAGATACAATGCATCTGTACGAAAACTATAACCGGTATGTGTACACATGGAATGCCGTAGACGTAGAAGTCGACGGACTGCTGCAGCACGGGCACGTTATCGGACTGGAAGCTATTGATGAAACTGCGGAACGTCTGATCGTAGATTTTGGTTGTCCGGAGCAGCGCGCGGTGCCAGTTGAATACGGGAAAATCTTCCACTGCGCTGATAATGAAAACATCAGAAAATATTCTGTCGATTTCCAATACAACGGGCCCGGCGATATATTATCCGACGCCAACGCGGATGGGATTGACACTGGCGTGGAAGTGTTGCTTCGCGATCCTTCAGACCGTCCCTGGAAATGGTATCCAGCCAAATTTCTCATGTCCCGACTCGAGTTCGTTCTGGTCGAGGTTACGCTGGGCGCTCAGGTGTGCCGCGAACTGCTTCCCAATACACAAGTGCGCCGACCGCCATCAGAAGAAGAAATTCAGCGCAGAAAACTGCAACCGGGTGTTTTCGTGGTTCTCTCCGGCTGTAGCAGTAGAAAGTATTGGACACCGTTGGACCCGCGGTAGCGTTGCAGTTAGAACCAGAGCGTGTCCAGAGTTCGACGGTTTCACGCTGCGGCTGTGAGAGCCAAGCTCTGTTGCCAACGGAAGTTCATGAGGCGAAGGAAATGCCGGTCGAGAATCTCCGAAATGCATTTGAGCAATATCGCGTCCGTACAAATAATTCAAAAAAGTGGATGGAAATGCAACAGCAAAAAGTGGAAGGATATGTTCTAGAAAGAAACACTGTTGACAGCTTGGACAATGCCGCTCTGGTACTTCTGCCGGAGATTTTGCAGGAGGTCTTCCTCTCGCTGAACACCATCAACCGGCAGCGCTGCTGACGCGCCTGCCGTTTATGGGAAGAGATTCTGACATCACTGGAGCTCTGTCGCGACGTCCGTTTGAAATTTGTGAGCAGAAACGACTTTCCAAATGTACCGAAATACCGAACATACGCATGCATCATTAAGCACATAACACCGGCCACGCGTACTATCTGCATGAGGGGAACCGGCTTCTCTCCTTTGCTTTGCCACAGCCTAACACCGGATTCCTGCGCGGTCGAGCAGCGGAATGTATTGGTGAGGTCGTCCAAACCTTGGGCATACGGCTGGACCACTTGGTTGTGGCCAGGAACTGGACCAGCTTCTGGTGGGGTTGCACAGCGAATGGATCAGCCAGCTCTTTGCTTGCGGCGTTGCTCAGAACAGGTTGGACTCTGCAAGAATTCTTAGACCATATTGCAGAGACGTATGCCAGCATGTCGTCCTGGTTTGATCGGATAATCTGGAAGAACTATGTGGTGCGGCTGAATTGCCGAACGAAAGGCGACATGTGTATCTCTATTCCGCACGCGGTGCTGCACCTGCGCAGCATTACCACGGAACACCTTTGGGACGTTTTTGAGAGGCATGTGCTGGACGATGAGCCGCTGGACGTGGAGCGTACCGTCCAGTGGACGACGCAGCAGATTCAGTCAAAGTCTCGCCAGAACTGTCTTCTAATCATGCAGGTCAGGTTCGGGTGGTCCGCATAAGTTCGTGCAAACTGAAATGATAATCTCTTACAGATTCTAATGACACACCAGGTCGGCGATCCGCGCCCTTCCATGGATCTTTCCGCGTGGAATCAGGAGCTAGAAACTCTGGACCGTGTGGATATTCGGAAATTAAACCGAATCACTTTAACTGCTCTGTCCGGATGTGTGACGGAGCCTGATGACGCGTCGTTATCGCCCAGCGAGAACTCAGAGCCTCTGACGAAGAAGAAAAAAACGACATGACGAATTTGACTTTGTCATTGGCCACCGCAAAGCATGCAGTTAAGACCCCTTTATCAGAAAATAAATAGAGATTTGCAGCGGTAAGAAGAAGGCGAATTAGTTGAACTTGGATATTGTCCAGTTGAACGTTTTTAATTGTTAATAATGTGGCGTACGAGTATTGTGCGATCTGTTCCGTGCCGCCCACTTAGGGTTACATAGCGCCAGCCGCTCAGACAGGGTTGAAAAACAGCAGTGTAACAACAACATCGAAACATAACACGAAATAAATAAAAAATGTGCAAAGTTCCAAAAAAGCAGTTAATTTGTAACCCTTAATGGTTGTGTTGTATTCCGAAAGAAGAGTGAGCTATCCGATGCAAAATCATATGCGGCAAGGGCTTTAAAGTGGATGGGAAGTTATCACCGCACTGGAATTAACCCCTGTCACCTTGCTGGATTGAGCCACCGTCGACATGACTTTTGATGAGGTTACCCAGGGTAATTTGCTTCTCACGTCCCGCATGACATCTTTGTTCATGAGTAACAGGAAAACCTGGGAAATACATTTTATTGTAAAGCTATTCAATTAATGCGATTCAAAATATTTTTGTATTAAAGTAAAAGCATGCTTATGATACAGTAATAAGAACTACAATAATAATACATAATTCATGATTAGTAATTAATAATACAATACTTACAGGGCTTCCAGCATAAGCCACTTCCTGCAGCAGCTGCAGCCATCCAGATCGCACTTTAATTCGAAGAAGAATTTTGGGAATCCAAACACAGTAATTGGTTGCGGAAGGTAGCATACCGTGAACCAGATATATGAGCCGAAAAGGAGTCGAAAGGTGACGAAACGCTTTCGCTGTACCGGAGACAATGTTTCTGTCTTGACCTTTTTGTGTTTAACGATAAGAACGGCTAGATAGCATACTCCTTGGACAAACAGGGGGAAATAAATTCCCAGCGCGCCAACGGTATTGGCAATCAGTGGCCCTGTTGAACCAATGTATCCGCAGTCGAACTGGCGCTTTCCGAAGAAATTCCCAAAACCGTAAATTCCCGGTGCGACCAATGTGGCACTTAATGCTGTACCAATAAACCATGGGAAAATGATCAGAAAAATCGTAGCGCGTCTGGTAGTGATTGTGCTATATATTTATGGGGAAAAATCAGAGCCATGAAGCGGTTCACGGCTAAAAACAAGGACGCCCACATTTCAGCGAAGGTCGTCAGTTTGCCGAAGAAATGCGCCATCGTGCAGTTGAAGGCGGCCATGTTCATCCCCCAGATCACCCAGCCGGTGGCCATCGAGATCGGATTGGAGATGCCGGTTTCGAGAACGTGGAGGAATTGGCTGTGGGCGATCAATATCCCGGATCCGGTGTGTAATCTCGATTGCGTGGCGATTATTGCAATTAGTTGTAAAGGACAAACATGTTCCCGTGATGAACACAATCGTGTAGATGGACACAATGATTTTCAGTTCGGTTTGACCTTTGGCGAAAGTGTCCGAGATGTTCGCTTGGACGTCCGATGCGTTAATCATGACTTCTAATGGAAGAAAACGCTGGTTTATATTAGACTTTCATACAAAATCGTAAATGAGTGTGGCTGGCAATGAGACGGATTGGGAACAGCGTCAGTAGATACCGATGAACGCATACGTGTATCGTGGATCTTTTAGAGAGGGATATAATTGTTTATGCCTGGGGAAGAGGATCCGTTTGTGTCACATCCGCGGGTGGCCTCTAATTATCGCATCTGTTTCAGCTCATAATCCACCAGATGATGCTCGATAAAACTTAGCAACTCGGATACCACTCATCGCATTCGCCGCTAGTATGGTAAATTGCCATTTTCGCATCAGGTGGAATGCAGTCTCTGAAATTTGGGCACCGCGACATTTCGCCGCGGACAACTAGTCGCAGGACTTTTGGTCGAAGACATTTCACCGCAAGGCAATCTCGCCGCGCGACGTTTCGTCGCATGACATTTCGTCGGTAGGACTTCAAGCCGCGAGACTTTCCGCCGCACAGCCGTTTCGACGCAAGGACATCTCGACAAAGCGACATTTCAAATTTCAGATAAATGATTTACTAAGCTAACTAAAAGATTCAGAAAAGTTAAAACTGGAAAACAAAACAAACCGAACAATCTAAGAAAACCTAAGAACCTAAAAACCTAAGAAAACCTAAGAAACCTAGGAAATCTAAGAAACCTAGGAAATCTAAGAAACCTGAGAAACCTAAGAAACCTAAGAAATCAAACAAACATAAGAAACATAAGAAACCTAAGAAACCTGAGAAACCTGAAAAACCTCAGAAACCTAAGAAGCCTAAAAAACCTAAGAAACCTAAGAAAACCTAGGAAAAAATAAGACAACCTAAAAAAGTTTAAGAAGGACTAAGAAGCCTAAGAGAAACTAAGAACAAGCCTAAAAAAGCTGGAAAAACTAGTGAACATTAAGCGCGGCTAATTAAGTTTCGGTGATTAGACGCATCGTTCGAAAAGTCCCAAGGCGAATTGTCCGCGGCCAGACGTCTGGCGTCGAAATGTCGCAAAGTTAAAATGTCTTAAAACATAAAGTCCCAAACCGAAGTGTCCCAGCGTCCGATTGTCCGGCGACGAAATGTCTTCGCGGCGAAAAGTCGCGCGTCGAGTTTAAGTGCGGCGAAATGTCACGCTCCCTATTGTCCGGGTGCGGAAATTTGGCGGTTACGTTCAGTGTCTCAGTTATTAACTGAACAATTGACCACGGATAAATAAGACGTCTGAATCTATACGCTTGCTCAGATTTACACCAATCAAATCGATTAAATTTTAGGCGGGGAAAAAGCATAAAAAATCGTTATTCGTTATATGGATCATAGATCAGGGTTCCCCGGGTGAATTCAAGGATTTCCGATGAAGCCGATCAACTCGGCAGAAAATGTCCCAGATATCCTGAGCATCGTGAGCAGGTAGAAGAGATATCGCAGATCCTAGACGAAAGCCTCCTTCCGGCGCTTACTGCCTGCAGCCAACTGCGCTATACTTCCGGCTTGAATCGAGCGGGTCTGCACGTGAATCACGGCCACAGTGCCCCAGCATGGTGCATCCCACACACCGCCCTTACCATTACACACATGATTTATTGCCACACCATCCGGTTGTTTGCCGTCACTACTCGAAAGTCCAGGCCGCTTGGTTTGGCATGGATACGCAGCCAATATTTATTATTTATGCAAATCCGCACTTAATCGATTATATGCTCTTGTTTTCGGGTCGTTGCCTTCCCCCGCACCATTGTTGCGAGCACCTAGGTGGGATACAGCGCAGTGAGTGCAAATTAAATGGATGCGAATTGCAGTCACACAAATAGCGGGACATGGGACAGGTTTAATCAACGAGAGCTGCTCACCTGTGTCGCGCAAATGTAACGCAAGTGTTTTTGGTGGATCATGCTGCAGTATGCGTCATAAATCACGTACATATTTATAATCCTGACGGGCGTGTTCAGTATGGATACGGTCGAATGCACAATATATCTTGTTGTGGTAAGGAAGCCAATGGCCGTGCCTTGAACGATAACTAGCAAATGTTGGAGCGTGAAGAAAGGAATGTATTATAGTGCATGTTCTCCCCTGCACAAAACATGCGCGCTGCTGTTTGCCACAGCGGTAACTTTACCCGGACGCTGGCCGATGCTGGCATCATTGCCAAATCTCACAACATCCGGTTTCCCTTCAAACAAAGCCCGAATAGGGAAAAAAACTATAACGGAAGTAACGGCATTGTTGCTTGAATTTTATCATGTTAACTTGTTGGATTTCGTTTAGTTTGATTTTCTGGGCTTTGTTAAGTATCTTAGGTTCTTTTAAGTTCTTAGAATCGACGTGCTACTGAACAAGGGGTTCCATACATGCAGTCTTTTAAAGCTTGTATTAAAGCTTGCATAATTTGTGACATAATTATAAGCCGACACAGTTTATGTATCAGCACGATTGCATCGAAGATACAGATATGAATTATTTTACTCAAGTTCAACTAATTCGCCTTCTTCCGAAAATGGTTTACCGCTGCAAAATCTTTATTTAATTTTCTAATAAAGGGGTCATGAGCTGCATGCTTTGCGGTGGCCAATGACAAAGTCAAATTCGTCATGTCGTTTTTTTCTTCTTCGTCAGAGGCTCTGAGTTCTCGCTGGGCGATAACGACGCGTCATCAGGCTCTGCCACACATCGGGACAGAGCAGTTAAAGTGATTCGGTTTAATTTCCGAATATCCACACGGTCCAGAGTTTCTAGCTCCTGATTCCACGCGGAAATATCCATGGAAGGGCGCGGATCGCCGACCTGGTGTGTCATTAGAATCTGTAAGAGATTATCATTTCAGTTTGCACGAACTTATGCGGACCACCCGAACCTGACCTGCATGATTAGAAGACAGTTCTGGCGAGACTTTGACTGAATCTGCTGCGTCGCTCACTGGACGGTACGTTCCACGTCCAGCGGCTCATCGTCTGGCAAATGCCTCTCAAAAACGTCCCAAAGATGTTCCGTGGTAATGCTGCGCAGGTGCAGCACCGCATGCGGAATAGAGATACACATGTCGCCTTTCGTTGGGCAATTCAGCCGCACAACATAGTTCTTCCAGATTATCCGATCAAACCAGGACGACATGCTTTCACACGTTTCTGCAATATGGTCTAAGAATTCTTGCAGAGTCCAACCAGTTCTAAGCAACGCCGCAAGCAAAGAGCTGGCTGATCCATTCGCTGTGCATCCCCACCAGAAGCTGGTCCAGTTCCTGGCCACAATCAAGTGGTCCGCCGTGTACCCGGTATGTATGCTGCTTTCGTTCTGAGCAACCTTAATGAGACGGAGATTAGGGTCTTTTTGAGAGGCATCTCGATTATGGCGGGCCAATCAATGTTGAAGGGAATGCGCAGTGGACGGCGTCTGTGATTGCCGACAGGTCGAAGATAACCTGTGAAAAGCTAATCCAGGCAAAAAAATTGTGAATGCGAA